CCCAGGTTCCTTCCCCAATCACATTTACCCCAATAAAAAAAAAGAGTTGATTGTTTCCAAGCAAAAAGTATAGTTTATAATATCTGCAGGGGAGTAGAAAGGGAGGGGGAGAGGGCAGGGGAAGAGTGGAGTGTGGGAGGAAAGGCAGAGGTGCACAGTGTGCAGGTGGGTGGGTTTGAGCTGCATGAGCTCAACGGAGAGTGGAGAGGAATTGCCCCACAATGAGCGGGTGGGTCCTGTTCCTGCAGGGCCCAGAAGGCATCCTGCAGAAACTGCAGCAGGAGGTGCACCAAGACAGATAAGAGCAGTCAACTGCTGGGAGGCAGCTCTATCTCCATGTCTAGAGATCTGAGATGTACACAACCATAGCAGACAGAGAAAAGGCTTTGCTGTCTCTCAATGAGGTAAGCAAAAGAGAAGAACCTCAGACACATCTGTACAGGGCGTCTCTTTAAGCTTGAGCCTCAGATAGCCTCAGGCAGCAGCTCCAGGGAGAGAGTGCTGTCCTCATGCCTTGCCTGAAGTGCTTCCAGGTGGTCTTAAATGCGATTCAGCATCCAAGGAGTGTGGACGATCGGTTTTGAACGGTGGCCTTAAATGCGATTCAGCATCCAAGGAGTGTGGACAATCGGTTTTGAAATAGCTCAGCAATATTTCAATGGGCATTTGTTGTGCTGACGTACTATTTCAAAATAAGATATTTTGGAATATTTCCTTTAAAATAACTTATACTGAAATAAGTGTAGACGTGCCCTTTCAGAGTAACATGGCTACCCCTGTAAATCAAATGCTATCGGCGTTAATCTACCAGCTGGGAAAGTCAAATTTGGCAGTGAACTCCAAGTACCAAGTTTTCAACTAAAAGAAATATAAATAAAAGATACGGCTGAGTCTACACTAAAAAGTTACATTACTAGGGCTACGTCTAGACTGCAAGCCTCTTTTGAAAGAGGCTTTTTCAAAAGATACTTTCGAAAAAGCAAGCCGCTTTTTCGAAAAAGAGCACCCAGACAGTCTGGATGCTCTCTTTCGAATAAGCACAGTTTGCATTACATAGCACCTTTTTTCGAAAGAGCCCTTTCGAAAAAAGGCGTTATTCCTCATGAAATGAGGAGTACCACCATTGAAAGAAAAGCCGCGTTCTTTCGATTTAATTTTGAAAGACCGCGGCTGTAGCCTAGTTTTCGAAAAAACTCTGCAGTCTAGACACAGCCTAAGAGACATGAAAAATCCACATCCCTGAGCAAAATGGACAACGTGTCCTAACCCCCAGTGTAGACAGTGTTAAGTCAATGGCAGAATTCTTGCAGAGACAGATTAACTGAAGTGATGGGAGAACCTCTCCTATTGCTGTATTGAGTGTCTACAATGAAACACTACAGCAGCACTGATACAGCATTACTTGCAAAGGTGTCGCATAAGATGAATCTGGCACAGATCACTGAAAAAGGGGATTTAATTTTTAAGTCTTTTTTCTCCTTTATTTTAGTGAATATACAGTATTGTGTGTATGTTCACAAGCTCCTGCAGATACACACACACACACACACGCTGATCCATACGTGGGACCTCTAGATCTCAAAGCATGAGACTCTATTGCCAAAAAATGTAGATAGCAACAGCAGGCTCAAATCCCACTGCATGGCCTAGAACAGGGTTGATCAAATACTGGCCTGCAGACTGGATCTAATCTGCCAGGGCTAGGTCCTGGTAGGCCCCTGCAGCTATAATTACCTGCACTGCCACGGGGTACGTCTACACTACAGCACTAATTCGAACTAATGCGTCTAGAACTAAAAACTAGTTCGAATTAGCGTTTTGCTAATTCGAACTAGCAAGTCCACATTGAGTGGACCCTGAACCGAGGTTAAGGATGGCCGGAAGCAGTGCCGGCAGGGCATCAGAGGAGGACTTAGAGCGTGGAGATGCTGTCTCAGGCTAGCCGAGGGCTGCGCTTAAAGGGTCCCGGCCCCCACCCCGGACAGACAGTTCTAAGGGGTGCCCCGCTTGCAAAGCAGTCCTGGCTTGGATTGCCCGGAGTACCCACACTGGGCACATCACACCACTCGGCCATCAGCCCGGCTGCACTTGCCGCAGGCTGCGATCTGGGGAGAGGGGGCAATCGGGAGGCTGCAGGAGAGCTTCCACCCCCAGAAGCCCGCAGAGCCAGCCCAGTCCTCCCCATGGGCGGCACGTGCCCCATTCCGCCCTCACCTCCTTCCACTTTGGATTGCCCGGAGTACCCACACTGGGCACATCACACCACTCGGCCATCAGCCCGGCTGCACTTGCCGCAGGCTGCGATCTGGGGAGAGGGGGCAATCGGGAGGCTGCAGGAGAGCTTCCACCCCCAGAAGCCCGCAGAGCCAGCCCAGTCCTCCCCATGGGCGGCACGTGCCCCATTCCGCCCTCACCTCCTTCCACTTACCCTTCCCTAGCCCCCCTTCTTATTGATGTAC